CATTTTAAAAAACTTCACACCTGCATGAAAAAGTAAATTTTATTCCTTTTTTTTAAACTAAGAATAAATCTATCACTAAGATACTACACTGTGTTGTGAGATATTAGGCACTTTCGCAAAGGCTTTTTCCCAAACGGCAACATCCCAAGGGTATTTTCCCAAGTGGCAACTTCCTAGCTGTGCCATTTCCCAAGCGGCAACTTCCCAAGTATGTCTTAGCTGCAGCGCTTGGCCCCCTTATCCTCTTCTTTCCGCATCACTCGACCCCCTAACCCATCCTAGCCACATCGCTCGGCCCTCATTGCAGCTTGAGGCGCTTCAGAAGGCCTAACCTAACCTTCAGGAAGTTGCCGCTTGGGAAATTGCACATTTTGGAAGTTGCCACTTAGGAAATTGCACATTTGGGAAGTTGCCACTTGGGAAATTGCACATTTGGGAAGTTGCCACTTGGGAAATTGTCACTCGGGAAGTTGCCTTTGGGAAAATATTTAACACTAGGTGTGACATTTTGCGGGACGGTTGTTTATTGGCATTGACTGAGAGGCCTTTACGGAACAAGAAAAAAATAGAAATCTCATTCGTAATGCACAGAATTAGCATGGAATGGTTGTTCAGAATAAAAAAGTTATATATTTGGTAAAAAAGAATTAATATCTTTTCTCCTTAGATGAAAAAAATTCTAGGAAAACTAGAGAAGAGCAATTTATAAAAGAAACATTTAAATTCCCTTGTCAATTCAATACAAAAGGTTCATACAACAGACCATGTTAAACTTTTTTACTTCAAATTTTAAACATTGTTTTTAATTTGCATTTCCAGAGAATAGGGAAGAAGGGTAGTTACTGTTTTGAAGGGTTTTAAGGAAGCTGTAGACGTAATTCAAGAGACCCTCCAGTTATAGAATGAGGCGCATGTTCGATTCACAAAGGATAATTAATTTCTTCAAACTCAATTTTTTTAATCCCTATATCTTTGTAAACAAATAGATCATAGCAAAATTTTAAAAGTTTACAATATCAGGTTGCAAAGATAGACAATTTTAAATTCAATTTATCAGAATTTCTCTACTTTTCCTAAGCTCCCAAAAATCAGTCTTAGACGAGGGAGGAAATCCCCGGCCGCCGCTATGCAGACACCAGCCTCCCAGTATGCAGTACGATCCTCCGCCATGCAGTACGAGCCTCCTCTATACAGTAAACGAGCCTCCGATATTTATCACAGATTATTTTCAAATCTTGTTTTTTTTCATTTTTTTCAACACTGTGACACAAGAATTTTAATAAAGATTAATGTTATTTACTGATTGCCATGAGCTGAGGCTCGTTTACTGTATAGAGGAGGCTCTTACTGCTTGGTGGAGGTTCGTTCTGCATTGCAAATCTGGGAGGCTCGTGTCTGCATAGCGGAGGCTCATGGCGGCCGGGGGTACCCTCCCACCCTAGACTGAAGTCTGTAGAATATAATGTTTACTAATGGTTACAACTTACAAGTTTGGGTTGCGTAGTGAGTTTCATTCTCTAGAGTGAAATTTTGGTGAACTATTTGTCTCTTGGGACTTTTAGCACTTAGTCTTTTTAACAGGAGAATACAGTTACAACATCGGAATATATGTTTAAAGGATAGAGATGTAAGAAAAGAAGAAAAAGAAGAAGAAGAAGAAGAAGAAGAAGAAGAAGAAGAAGAAGAAGAAGAAGAAGAAGAAGAAGAAGAAAAAGAAGAAGAAGAAGAAAAAGAAGATCCCCCCCTCCATTGATAATTCAAACTGTCACGTTTTGCAATCTTTTTTTTTACCCGAAATGGATAGTATTGCACTATTTGTAATTACAAACCGCGACTGATCGGTTAAATGATTTTTATATTTCAGGTGCAAAGTAGAAAATAGTATGCTTGGATATATTGAATTTTAAAGGGATCGTTCAAATATTTGAAAATATTGGAGATACTTAAAAAATTCTGGAAAATGAAGACGACTTTTAAACTCAAATTCTTCGTGAGAAAGTCTAACGAACATGAAATACAGCAACTGAGACGTTTACCAGTTTACACAAACACATTTTACTTGATACAGAGGATTTTCAAATACACATAATCTGGACGAAATGTCGTCTCCAATTCCAGAGTAATATGGGTCTCACTCCATTAAAATCGAAAATTTCTGTAACTCTCCCTCCCCCTCGTTCCTCCTCTTATCAATCAAACTTCTGAATGAGATTTCCGGCGGTGATATCTAATCTAATCTAATCTAATAATTTATTCTTCCGTTGAAAATAAGACATATTGAGCAATAAAACTAAACATATGATGATATAACTGTTATTACAACTGTTTTTTTGATACTCTTGCTAAAGAGCCCAAGAGTTTTCCGTTGAATCTAAAAAACGACTTCCTGCTTCAAAAAGGCTGATGGAAGGGACATGATGTCACCTATACATGTTATCCAGGGGGGGGGGTCTGGCCGGGGCTTAGTCAACAGTTATACATAAATATATTTTCTAGGCTCAATGCATGATTTATTACATAAGATTTAACCTGGTATTACAATTAGGTCTACTACTCCTTTAATACTGAAATTAATCATCAGAAGTAAGGAATTAATTAGTTTAATAACAGAACCAAAACTAATTAATTAATTGAAATGGAACTCATTGGAATGACGGGGAAGGGAATATTCGCAAGAAAACACATACGAAGAAAAAGAAAGGAATTGAGTCTTGAGAAATTGTGATTTTCTAATTCCTTTATTTTTTATCTCGCATCTGCTTAAATTACATTTTTTAAATCCCGAGAAAGGGGGGGATGTATAGTTGATTTCTGAAATATAAATGTATTATAGAAAATACTGTGTAAAAATATATGATCATTACAAAATGTTTAGAAACTAAAATTTTTAGTTTATTCACATTAAACATCTTGAACATGTATACTTTAAATGATCATGATTCACATAATGATATTTTAGGTCTACATTATGTTTAACTATGTTGATGTGTTCATAAATACATGGAAGTCCCTTCCTTATTAAATCAAAAGATGGATATTCCAAAAAGGGTTGTTGATAAATACACAACAAAATTCAATGTGAAACTTTTCTTTACTTTGCTCATGCTTGTTTTAATCTAAAAAATGTAAGTCAGTTAAAATATTTGATTTTACTTCAATATACTTTTAGTAAAATGATTAATACATTCGGAACATGCGAGATCTTGCACTGGCATCTTTGCTACGAGCACAACATGTGAAAAACTGACGAGAATTGAACTTGAATCATCTCATATATCTATTACACGTGATAATTACGAGAATTAAAATCTAGGTATTCTGGCATTGCATTACTCGATTTTAACACGATGGGCATATATGCAAGATCTTTTACTGGTATCTTCGCTATGTGCAGTGTGCACAACATGAGAAAAAAACGACGGGAATTTTACTGGAATATTTCCGCGTTTTTTACCCGTGCTTTACACGGGATAAATCCTCAAGATCGTGAAAAGTAGCTTTACCACGAGAATAACACAAGAAGGGGTCCTAAATTAATCACGCGAATTATCAACCAGTTCTCCATCATGCTAATCTTGTTGAAAACCTGTGTTTTCCTTGTAGGGATATTTGCTTTGAAACAACATCAATTGTACTTCAGTATTGCTTTGCTGTCCTCTTCCTAATCTACAGTTTTCTGGTTATCTAGATAGATAACAAGATAGATAGATAGATAGATAGATAACAAGATAGTTAGTTAGATAGATAGATAGATAGTTAGATAAATATAAGCAGATGGTTTATGTATACAAGTAGAATATCAGTTTTATTAGATGTAAGATCACCTATTCAAGGGGAAAAGAAGAAAATTAACTGAATCCTGTAATTACGGGTTTAGCTAGAGCAGGATATAATAACCCAGGGGGGAGGGGAGGGGCGTAGCCCCCCCTGACTTTGGAATTTTTTGTTCCTATTTTCAGAATAGCTTCTCATTAGCATGCTTAAGGGAAAGAAACCCTAGTGCAAAACGGAAAAACATCTGTATTAATAAACTATAATGTGTGAAAAGTTTAAAATCTAGTTTTTTAGTCTTTAGTAATTAATTTTGACTCTTTTTGAGTCTTTTAAGTCAAAAAAAATTTTCACCTGCCCTGCGATTTTTTTTGCATAATCATGAATTTTTGGGTTCATAAAAAATCTTGCCCCCCCCCCTTCCCTTAAATCCTGTATTCACCCCTGTCTATTTTCCTATTCTGACTACAGCCATAAACTAGCTTAGACGCTCAAGTCTGAAACTCGCAAATTTATTTGGTTACTGCATGCTAAGTGCACAAAAGAAATTCAAATTTTTGTTGTTATTTTTTAGAGATTTTCAACAAGAAGGGTTAATCTGATATGCAAAGCTACATCAATTTTTAAGATAGGGTCGACTTTTAAGTGTCGCTTTAGGCTTTTATTTTGTCGCTCATTTATGCTTTTTAGTCCTAAATATGTCTCCGTCTGTATCACGTTACAAAATGCACTGTCATGCATTGGTGGGAGTTCTGGTCGCGTGATCAATTATATTATTAATTATATATCTATTAAAATACGAAATTATAAAATTCAAATAATAATAAGAGCAAACCTGAGTTTTCAGGCTCCTCTGGGATATCGTCGTTTTTGCTGAATATGATCTGTTTAAAACTTAGATTGTTATACCAAATCTTATATATATAAGGTTTGGTATAATTTTGACACATTGTTATATCAATTTCTTGAGACAGGATAAACTATTATAGGTCTCGATCAACTCCTGAAGTTCTTAGGTTTCAGCCTACACCTCTTTCATTTTTCCTTTACAGTCGATCCATTTAATCATTACTCCTCTTCTTGTAGATCTATTGGTTTTGAATATCTGATATTTAGCCGGATAAACTCTCGTTTTCACATACATATGCATAAAATCCAAACTAGAGAAGGTAAAGGACACAAAGTCGTAACGGTAATGTTTTATATTAGTTACAAGAACTTTAATTACAGGAAAATCCTTGCCAGCACCCGGTGGTTATACTGAAAGATGTACGGTACATAGACCTTGAGAGTCTTGTCAAGTACATGTACGCAGGACAGGTGTACATAGCTCAAGATCAACTTGGCAGGTAAAAGTTCGTCACAGTACAATATACATTTATAATAATCAATTTTTGGTAAAAAAAACAAACAAGGATTTCTTATTTACTTTTTATCATCCAAAGATTTAAACGATACCATTGTCTATAAATGGAGGGTCACGTGATATTAAGATTCGGGTCACTTTCAAACCTAATTTAAAGGAGGGAAAATAATTTTTTAACAAGTTACTTTAGATTTTAACTCACATGAATATAGGAAAAAAGTCATGTTATTGGTTAGAAATGTTAAGGGATTTGTATGATATATTCTATCTATTTGTATATCGACCCGAAATTGTTAATAATATTAAAGAATCAGTACTATATTCTATCTATATATATTGTCTCCACATTGTTAACGATGTTAAAGGAACAGTCTAATATATATTCTATTATATCAATGTTTTGTCCAAAAATTGTTAATAATGTTAAAAAAAAACAGTATAATATATTTATCTATGTATATTGTAATCATATTGTTAACAATATTAAAGGAACAGTATAATATATTTATCTATGTATATTGTAATCATATTGTTAACAATATTAAAGGGACAGTATAATATAATTATCTATGTTTATTATAATCATATTGCTTATAATGTTTAAGAGACAGTATAATATATTTTTCTATGTATATTGTAATCATATTGTTAACAATGTTAAAGGGACAGCTCAATATATTCTATCTATTTATTTCCCTAAACATTCTGGTTTAAGGAATCCCCTGGGATCCCATATATCCCCCCTCCCATCCATCCTCTCCCTAAATAACATACATATCTCCTTGTATCCCCCTATAGCCCCTATTTCCCCCTAAGGACCAAGATATCATATTATCTTAATCAAAGTATATAAACACCTAACTAAATGTAATAAAATACCAGGATAGATTCACAATAGATACTCTGTATTATATACATATATACACCATAGTAGCTTTATTATATACATATATACACCATAGTACCTTTATTATAGATACTTTTTATTATATACATATATACACCATAGTAGCTTTATTATAGATACTTTTTATTATATACATATATACACCATAGTAGCTTTATCATAGATACTTTTCATTATATACATATATACACCATAGTAGCTTTATTACAGATACTTTTTATTATATACATATATAAATCATAGTAGTTTTATTATAGATACTTTGTATTATATACATATATACACCATAGCAGCTTTATTATAGATACTTTGTATTATATACATATATACACCATAGTAGCTTTATTATAGATACTTTGTATTATATACATATATACACCATAGTAGCTTTATTATAGATACTTTTTATCATATACATATATAAACCATAGTAGCTTTATTATAGATACTTTGTATTATATATATATATATATACACCATAGTAGCTTTATTATAGATACTTTTCATTATCATAATGATAAACCATAGTAACTTTTCAATAGATACTCTTCATTATCATAATGATAAATCATAGTAACTTTTCATTAGATACGTTTCATTATCATAATGATTAACCATAGTAACTTTTCAATAGATGCTCTTCATTATCATAATGATAACCATAGTAACTTTATTATAGATACGTCCATTATCATAATGATATACCATGGTAATACAATAGATACTTTTCATTATCATAATGATATACCATAGTGCTACAATAGATACTTTTCATTATCATAATGATTAACCATAGTAACTTTATTATAGATACTTTCATTATCATAATGATAAATCATATGTAACTTTATTATAGATACTTTTCATTATCATGATAGTAAACCATAGTAGCTTTTAAATAGATAAAATGATAAACCATAGTAATTTTAATATAGATACTTTTCATTATCATAATGCTAAACCAAAGTAATGCAATAAATACTTTTCATTATTATGATGATAAACCATAGTAATTTTATTATAGATACTTTTCATTATCATAATGATAAACCATAGTAATGCAATAAATACTTTTCATTATTATGATGATAAACCATAGTAATTTTAAATAGATACTTTTCATTATCATAATGATAAACCATAGCAACTTTACAATAGATACTATATATATACTTTTTTGCCTGTCTGCTTGTTTGTATGATTTATCCAATAAGCGTCAAAACGCCTGAACAGATCCAATTATATTATGCATATATCTATATATACTAGGCTTTTAGGGCGCTTCCCGCCCATCTTCTATTTAAATTGTGAACATGTTTTTTTTTGTTTACATTTTAAAACAAAGAAGAAAAAAATGTTGCGGATTTTAAAAAATAAATCGCGGATTTTCAAGAATTTAAATTTTTTTTACAAAATTAAAAACCTTTAAACCATATTTATTTTGAATTTTTATCATTCATAAACCTTTCCTGTGGTCACGTGATGTCCCACGAAAAATTTAGGCCCGATCGGTTCAGCCGTTTTGACGTTTATTGGATACAAACAAACAGACAGACAAACAAACAAACAGACAGACAAGCCAAATTTACATATAGATTATAATAGAATAGCCAAAAAATAGAAACACTTTTATAAAATATTTTTGTTGTTCCTTTTTTTACATAATTCGTAATTTTCTTCAAAATCAAAGTAATCTAATTTTAAACTTGGATCACTAGTATTAGGCATTACACTGTAATGTGATGGTGTATTAATATTTTTATTAGATTTCTGAAGACTGCTGAAACCTTACAAGTTAAAGGTCTGGCTCAGAACCCGTTCATATCATCATCAACAGGTTTGTCGGAAAAAATTAACTTTAGCATATTCGTATTTATTCAACAAATAAACAAACTTTTAGCATCAAAGTCAAATTTTAGAATCCCAATATCTTTGCAACCTGAATGTAAAAACCTTGATATTTCGAACTGAGACGATGTGATCAAACATTATTTAGTTATACGAAATCGAGTTACAAAAAATCTGTGGGAAAAATCTTTTTTACTAATTGTTCTCTCAAACGCTTGTTTTAAATATGGAATAATTCAGGATTTCGCGCTTTTTCTCTTTCTATTTGTGGATTTCCAAAAATTAAAAAAAATCTTGTTAATATGGGAGGCAAAATTTCTAAACATTTGTACAACGTAGATGACGCTCAATGTGAGAGAATGAGGAATGAAGAGAGAAACGAGGATGAAAGGATGAAAACTGTACTGACTAAGGATGAGGATGAAGATGATGATGAGGATGATGATGATGAGGAGGAGGGGGAGGAGGAGGAACAACCTGAAAACTTATCCAAACAATCCTTTCAGGTTAATAAATGTTCTTTTTTTTCTGAAAGTAATTATTTACCTTTTTGAGTCACGTTATAGGAGCCTTTTTTTTAACCACCATTAAACCATCTAAGGTCTCAAAGGAAGATGAAAAGACAATAATTAAAGAACAGCAGTAAAGATGACCTTTCTTGCCTTAAAAGTATAAATATGTCTAAGATTTTAAAAGTTTTAATCTTACAGAGACTGTAAGCGTAATTTCAAATGACCCTCCATACCAGTATGGCAATACCCGATTTACAACGCTTGTCGTTTTTTAAGGTTCAGAGGTGTTTTATTTTCTCTAATAATTCCTGTATGTTTTAATGCAATAGAAATGCCCTTAAGTCACTTTAGTAGAGAAGCAACAATTTAACACAATCAGTATTTAAAATTACAGAGTTTAATATCTAATTGATACTTCAGACAAAGCTTTTAAGGTTTCAATTGAGAATCGGGCATTGCTATCTTTGGAAGGTCACTTGGAATTACGCTTACAGTCCCTTTAAATCTTCATTATATATCATATCAATATTTTGCATATTATGTTGTTAAATATTTCAAAAGTTGGGAAAAAAGAATTTTTATAATTGGATTATAACATATATTAAAACCTGGTCAAGGATTAATTTTAACAAAAATCAAACAATCCCACAGAGACTGCCGTAGAAAAATATTTTAAAACATTGATGTAGAATTTATCACAAAACTCGTATTAAGATGGTTGTTGCATAAGTTTCTTGATTACTCAATTCAAGTTAATTTCAATCATTAGCATCTCTAGGGATATTTGATTCAATTCAAATTTAGGCTTAACAACAAAAACTCAAAAATAAATAAATCTGAGTCCGAATTTAATGAATTTAAGCCGCGTCTCAAATCCCCCACAAACGGGTTTCAATTGAGCGCCGGCTTAAATCTTGACAAATTTTATACAATTTTAAGTGAAACCAACCATATTTACAAATTATTTAAATTTGGCCTCAGTCTATCTCTACTTTCTAATAACTAAAGAGTTAAGTAGAGACCAGAGAGGGTTAGCATTAATTAATAACTATGATTAACCAAAATTTTATTCCATTTATGCTCAAGCTTAAAGAACAATTTTTTGCTTTGATTTATGAATTATGACAAAAAACTCTGATAAATCAAAAGCTTTTAATCAGTCCATCTTTAATTTCTTTATTTATAAACAAATCTTGATATTCCAAATATGTTCCCGTGTTTCGGACAGATCACGGGTTGTAATTCTCTTTCTGCGTTTCTATTTCCGTCTCTAATGAAATCTTGGTTTATATACCTATTCACATATCTCTCTTCTATGAGATGGATACTGGGTTTTATTAGATTTTCCCTTTAGATCTTCTACCCCCGTACCCTCCAGAGGAATAGACCAGGGGGTTTGTAAAACAAAGAAATATTAAAGAGAAAGATTTAAGTTTATGGGCGAATTCATTTCAACAATTTGTTTATTCGGTTTATAAGTTATTCGTTTATCGTAAATTCGGTTATCCTTAATTTGGATATCTTTTATTCTTTTAATTTCATATTCAGATGGTCGTTGGAAGCTCTGTTCCTCAAAGCCCCCAGCCTTCTAATCTTGGAGTATACAACACCCTTCCTCACATTCTCTCCCTTCCACCTCTATCGGTTCCAGGTTTTATAACAAAGTTTCCAAATCATCCAACCCCTCCTCCCTCCCTCTCTCCATCCTCCCTACCTTCACCAGGAAAGGCAATATGTTCTCCAATAAAAGTTCCGACACCCCCCGCTTCATCCTTCTCTCTTAAACGCTCCTCTCTCACCTCTCTTGCTCAATATTTATCCAACGTATCCCCCGTCTCCCTTTCCTCCCTGTCTCCGCCACTGGAACCTAAACGAAGGAAACTGAGCCCGAACAAGACAAATCCCTCATCTCTGCCACCCTCCTCCCCTCCACACTCTAGCTCAGGAGAGGAGCGGAACTCCCCCGAAGGAGATGCGGATAGTGACACTGAGGGGTTAGTGATCGAAGAAACAAGAGACGATGAACATGCCAGGCTTCTCAACTCAGTTTTCCCATCAAACCAATCAAGACATATCAATGCTACACAAGATGGTGAGCCAATTTATAACATTTTTTTTGCAAAACAAATCCAACCTTTCTGTGATCGCATTGTATAATAATCCTTTTTAAGGTGAGAATACAGGGTCCAATGATGGGTTCAACAATCTGACCAGGAATGGATCTGACAATGGTAAGATGATTCATATTATTGGAATTTACACAGTCTATTCTTTAAAAATTGATGGGTTTAAGACTAGGGATGGTAACGGTTTAAATTTTTTATTGAATGTTTTTTGTTTGTTTATTACTAGGTTGAGAAAACTTGTTATGTTTTTAAGGAATGTATTTATGAGAACATTTCTTTTTAAAAATAGGTGCGGGAACTTGTTGTTTTTAAAGCTTTATCTCTTTTATAACAATTTTTACTTTGTGTACAAACTTGATTGAAAACATAAAAAACTAGTTTTCAACCTAGTTTACTAACTTTAAATAGATTTACTGCTTTTTACAACAAATTCTATTCAGTAGAATCCCTACAGAAAAAACTGTTATCTTATTTTAAATAGAAAGAGATTTAGTTTAAAGCTTTAACAATTATGTCAAAAAGCACAAGATAAAAATAAAAAACAATATTGAATGAATGCCATGCACATTGCACATGACTGCTAAATTATGAATATTCTATTTATCTAGCGTTCTTCAAACAGAAAGAAATAGCGAAAAATTCGTTTTAAAATCTTTAGCCTTTGTTTTACATAATCTAAGGAAAGGGATAAATAACTGTCTTTAAAATTTAATTATTATTACTGAAACTTATATGCTTAGATACAGTCATAACCAGGAAGAACTGGAATTAATTGGCAATTAATCAGACGACTTTTACAATCGTCTTTGATCTTTGAAATAGTGTACTGCATTCATTTGTCATTCTAATTTTACAAATATTTAAATATGATTGATGAAATGATAATCACAAAATAGCACTAGTTCTGCCATTTCCGAAATGTGGTCTGCCTTTATTGTGCGCTCAAAATCACAGGAAATATGAATGGTTTCAATCAAAATTAGAAAATTTTCCTTTTATTAAATAAAAATAAAATCTGACCAAAACTCTTTATATCACGGGTAATTTTGAACGCACAAAAAGGTCAGACTACATTTTGGAAATGTGTGGACTAGTGCTTTTTATGTTTTTCGTTTCGTCAATAATATTTGTATATTTGTAAAATTAGAATGTCAAATGAATGCCTACATTATTTCAAAGATCAAAGACAATGGAAAAGTCGTCTGATTAATAGTGAATTGATTCCGGGTCTTTCTGTAGTCCACTGTAGCAAACTGTAGTCCACTGTACCGAACTGTAGTCCACTGTACCACACTACAGTCCACTGTACCACACTACAGTCCACTGTACCAAACTGTAGTCCACAGTAGTCTACTGTAGCACCTGTGTAATAAATATCGTAGCAATCATCATATTTATAAGACGGAACACACCTAGATAGATTAAGTTGTACATTGCATTATTTGTAACCTAACTAACTCTGTCAAACTTGTATTGTGATTAAACTTAAGTACGTTTATTAATAAATTACTGCGCTTGTAGATAACTACGTAAAACTTTTATTGTGATTAATCTAACTGGGCTTGTAGATAACAATGTAAAACTTGTAATTACGTTCATTAACTTTACCTGTATCATAGAATTCAAGACAAACGTCAGTTGGAATAATTCTCCGCTTTGATTACATTATTAGAGTAATTTTTTCTCATTTAGCTAACAAGAAGGGGTCCTGAATCACTTTCTTGAAAGATAGATGTACATCAGGAATTACAATGAGTTGTATCTTGAAACATAGATACCTGAAGAATACAACAGCGTCTTATCTGAATTGATACAGATTGAGTATTCTAGGTGGGAGTCAGCTCAAGTTCTATTTTGAAACATAAATACCTGTACAATAGAAACTGAGGATTCACCGACAAAGGGTCAAATGACCCAGGGTCAAACGACACTGGGTCAAACGACACAGGGTCAATCGACACAGGGTCAAACGACAAGGGGTCAAAAACGCGACAAAGGGTCAAACGACGTAGGGTCAAACGACAAAGAGTCAAAAAATGCGACAAAAGGGCAAATTTTTTTTTAATTTTGACGGTTAGTATTTTTTTATTATTATTTGCGAGTTTCCTATGATTCAAATCAAAAAATATTTTTATCATTTTGACCTTTTGTCGTTTGACCCTTTGTCGCACTTTTGACCCTTTGTCGTTTGACCCAGTGTCGTTTGACCCTGTGTCGTTTGACCCTGTGTCGTTTGACCCTGTGTCGTTTGACCCTTTGTCGTTTGACCCTGGGTCGTTTGACCCTTTGTCGGTGAATCCAAACTGAGTCATATCTGGATTGATATTGACTGTGGTATTACTTATGCACCTTGAGTTCTAGAGTGAGTTGTATCTTGTAAGACTACAGAATACAGACTGAGTCGCATCCAGATTGATATTGACTGTGGTATTACGTATGCACCTTGAGTTCTACAGTGAGTTGTATCTTGTAAGACTACAGAATACAGACTGAGTCGCATCCAGATTGATATTGACTGTGGTATTAGTTATGCACCTTGAGTTCTACTGTGAGTTGTATCTTGTATGACTACAGAATACAGACTGAGTCGCATCCAGATTGATATTGACTATGGTATTACTGAGGAACATTGAGTTCTAGATCGAGTTGTATCTTGTAAGACAGATATCTGAGAATACAGATAGATATCCGCGCGGATTGACACAGACCAAGGTATTATTGGTGAACCTGGACTTCTAGATTGAGTTGTACCTGAATTGGTACTGATCTAAAAGTATATGTTTGAGCAGGGCATTTACTACACCTGTAGTCTACTAGCATCTAAAGTAGTCTGTAGTCCTTTCAGTGCTTTTAAGTCTTGAAGTCTTTAAGACTTCTCTCGAAGGATCTAAGATATAATTAGATAAGCGGTTTGAAGTACTTTTCCTAAACGAAGTTTTGTAAGTTTAAATGAAATCAATGAAACCAGAACCAATTTAGAACTTGTTGAGTGATGCCATGTTTGCAGAGAATAGAACTGAAAAGAATCTTATATTGTTCAATCAAGGAGAATAGCCACGTACCATACGGAGTAACAAGGCTATGGTACTTTTGTTGTCAGTGTACACCCTTACCTCGAGCAGATTGCTGTACATCACTACCTCGCACTTTTTGATGTATAGTATAGTGTACACTTCTAGTACTTGAGCAGTTTGCTGTACACCACTATCTTGTGCTGTTTGCTGTACAGTGTACACCCACTCTCCCGATCTGTTTGTTGACCCTCCCCCCTCTTTACACATTGTCCACTATTTAACATTATGTGAGACCCCCTCCTTCCCCTCCCTCCTCCCCTCTCTACCCTCTACTTTTCCCTCCCCTCTCAATCCCTTTTTCTCCCCATCCCTCCCCTCTCTACTCCTCTCTACCCCCTTCTGTCTTCTTTCAAGTGTCCGAGTCAATCTTCCTCTATTAGAATCAAGACTCTTCAGTTTCAGTAAAGGGTCTTTCAAATACAGGGTATATCAGATTTATTAGGGTGGAGTGGATAGTAACTCTTCCAAATACAAGGTGTACCAGATTTAGTAAAGTGGAGAGGATAGTAACTCTTTCAAATCCAGGGTGTACCAGATTTAGTAGGGTGGAGTGAATAGTAACTCTTTCAAATACAGGGTGTACCAGATAGTAACTCTTTCAAATACAGGGTGTACCAGAATTAGAAGTGTGGAGTGGATTTCAAATAAAGGGTGTACCAGAATTAGAAGGGTGGAGTGGATAGTAACGCTTTCTAATACAGGGTGTACCAGATTTAGTATGGTGGAGTGGATAGTAACTCTTTCAAATACAGGGTGTACCAGATTTAGTAGGGTGGAGTGGATAGTAACTCTTTCAAATACAGGGTGTACCAGATTTAGAAGGGGTGGAGTGGATATCAACACTGAGTAGAGTGAATGCATGGGGTGGATATTATGAAAATAGTAATAATATATTTAGAAGAAATAAATATCAAATATATTGAACACCGTCCACTGAGTAACATAAGTTTACACTTATATTTTATATTGATGTTGCCATTACTTCCCTCTAGATTTGGGAGTAGTTGAATGACTGGGTTGCCAAAATGTGCCTAGTTACAGTTATTTCAAAAAGATCAAAAATAGCAAAACATTTTTTTTCGTAAAGAATATAACTTCATTACTAGTCTTTGGGTACTCTTATGTTATAGAAGCATATCGTTTCTTGAGATTATGTCGGTATAAGAGAGTAGTATGTCGTTTCTGGAGATTAGTATGTTGATATTGGAGGGTAGTATGTTGGTACTGGAGGGTAGTATGTTGGTACTGGAAAGTAGTATGTTGGTACTGGAGAGTAGTAAGTTGTTACTAGATATTAAATTTTGTAGGTTCTGAAAATTACATTTTATTTGTACTGGAGTGTAGTATGTCGTTACTGGAAATTAATATGCTGGAACGGGAGAAGTGTATGTTGCTACTGGAGATTAATATGTTGATATCTGGAGAATAGTATGTCGTTACTGGAGAATAGTATGTCGCTACTGGAGATTAATATGTTGGTACTGGAGTGTAGTATGTCGTTACTGGAAATTAAAAAGTTGAAACGGGAGAATAGTATGTTGCTACTGGAGATTAATATGTTGATATCTGGAGAATAGTATGTTGGTACTGGAGATTAATATGTTGGAACAGGAGAATAGTATGTTGCTACTGGAGATTAATATGTTGGTACTGGAGAATAGTATGTTGCTACTGGAGATTAATATGTTGGAACTGGAGAATAGTATGTTGCTACTGGAGATTAATATGTTGGTACTGGAGAATAGTATGTTGCTACTGGAGATTAATATGTTGGAACTGGAGAATAGTATGCTGCTACTGAAGATTAATAGGTTGGAACTTGAGAATAGTTTATTGCTACTGGAGATTAATATGTTGGAACTGGAGAATAGTATGTTGCTACTGGAAATTAATATGTTGGAACTGGAGAATAGTATGCTGCTACAGGAAATTAATAGGTCGGAACTTGAGAATAGTTTGTTGCTACTGGAGATTAATATGTTGGAACTGGAGAATAGTATTTTGCTACTGGAAATTAATATGTTGGTACTGGAGAATAGTATGCTGCTACTGGAGATTAATATGTTTGTACTGGAGAATAGTATGTTGCTACTGGAGATTAATATGTTGGAACTGGAGAATAGTATGCTGCCACTGGAGATTATAATATGTTGGAACTGGAGAATAGTATGCTGCCACTGGAGATTATTATGTTTGTACTGGAGAATAGTATGTTGCTACTGGAGATTAATATGTTGGTACTGGAGAATAGTATGTTGCTACTGGAGATTAATATGTTGGTACTGGGAAAAAGTATGTTGCTACTGGAGATTAATATGCTTTAATGGAGAAAAGTATATTGGTATTGGAGTCTAGTATGTTGGTACTGGAGTCTAGTATGTTGGTACTGGAGTCTGGTATGTTGGTACCAAAGTCTAGTATGTTGGTACTGGAGTCTAGTATATTGGTAATGGAGTCTAGTATATTGGTACCTGAGTCTCGTATGTTGGTACTGGAGTCTAGTATATTTGTACTAGAGTCTAGTATGTTGGTACTGGAGTCTATTTTATTGGTACCTGAGTCTCGTATGTTGGTACTGGAGTCTAGTATGTTGGTACTGGAATCTAGTATTTTGGTACCAGAGTCTAGTATATTGGTACCGTAGTCTAGTATGTTTGTACTGGAGTCTAGCATATTGGTACCTGAGTCTCGTATGTTGGTACTGGAGTCTAGTATGTTGGTACTGGAGTCTAGTATGTTGGTACTGGAGTCTAGTCTGTTGGTACTGGAGTCTAGTATGTTGGTACCGGAGTCTAGTATGTTGGTACGGGAGTCTAGTATGTTGGTACCGGAGTCTAGTATGTTGGTACCGGAGTCTAGTATGTTGGTATACCAGGAGTCTAATATGTTGGTACCGGAGTCTAGTATGTTTGTACTGGAGTCTAGTATGTTGGTACTGGAGTAGGATCACCAATCAGGAATCCTTAATCTTGTTGTCAGCACACCATAAACCAATTATATCTCGACAGATAAAACACACATAGTTCGAGGGATTTGGTCACAGTTTTCTGAAATAAGAGCGTAAAGAATTTTTTTTTCTCGAACGATCACTTCAGAAACCATTCGAAAATGTTCTACAGTTAAACCCTAAACATACATCGAAAGAATTTATCAAATGTTGCAATTCATCACTTTCTGATAATGGAATGTTGCAGATATTTAGTTTTTAGATTAAGTGATTATATGGAGCTCTTTAAAACTATTCCCGCGTATTCATGGCTATTTATTCATTTTTGCAAATACTAAGCGTAAAATAGTGTAAAATTGTCAAGACGACATTTGATGATTTTTTTCGATGTATGGCTCCTTTAGGGGTTAACTGTATATAAACACATAGAACAAGCCCACATATATTTTCAATATAATACCGGCAAAGAAAAGAAAGTTTTTAGAAAAAAGTCTTATTCTTTTTTTTAAGAGGACTTTGCTTCCGGATATTGACCCCTTACAGTGTAATTATCTGTCTATGACTTTTATAAATAAATCTTATAATGACAGGATATAAAAACTGTGTAAAAAAACTGCGTATAAAAAGCTGTTTGCAGTTCACATTTTTAAAACTTTTTTCCTCAAGACTTTTTCAAAATTTGTTTTCATTGCGACTTTAATGGTAGATTACGATTGTACATTACAAATGCTGGGTCCAGATATCGGGTGTATATGGTAAGATTATACTAGTCCAGTCCTGCTGGAATCCTGGTCAGGCGTTACTACAGTTTACTGCAGACAAATTTCACTGGATGGGGATGACTCATTTTGTGTACAGTACCGTTTGCCTTCTGTACTACAACATAGTCCGGTACAACTCTACAACGCTTAGAGGTCGGCCCAGACAGCACTACAAATGAGCCAGAGCTCCCAGTCCCAGTGGCCGTGTTTTAATTCTTATATTTTAATTAATTTTTTTTTATCTAAAATAATTTGATGTTATTTAGGAGGAGTTGGGTTCAGCAACCAAGGCCTAGGAAAGATAGATCTTAGACCTGATAATCCTGATAATTCGAACTCAGCTAGAGATGGTCAACCAAACTCAGCTAGAGACGGTCAACTCAACTCAGCAACTCATCCCAGGTACAGTGATAACCAGAAACTGTAGAATATGAAAACGACATGAAAGCAATACTGAAGTGCATTATGTGCAGTTTCAAAGCAAATAGCTTTACTAGTATATCTTATAAAATCACTTATTAAGTAAAATGGGCCTGTTTACTGGAATTAAAAAGTGAGATATTTTACCTAAAAATCAGAAGATGGTTCCGGCCAATTTTGAAAAATTTACATCTTCGAATTGATAATTTTTTCTTTAAGAATTTTTGTACATTAAAAAATGTCGCATTAGTAGAGCTGAAACTGAAAAAAATTAGCACACTTGTATACACAAGTTTAAAAGTATGAATTCAAACTCTTTGATAACCTTGAGCTTAAAATAAATAAAGAAGAAAAATTTTTATATTTAAACTGGAGTAATTTTATGTTCATGAGAAATTGCTTTTTTGTCTATTTTTGATTTTTAATTTGCAATTGTTGAATTTATGTATCTCTAGAAACGTGCCTGACACTATGTTAAGTGAAAGTTGCCACAAACTCAAATGTTCTAATCCCTGTATCTTTGCAACCTTTCAGATATAAAGATAAGAAAATCCCTGCTTAATATTTTGTTGACATTTTATGATTGTAAGGAAGAAAGAAGACGACAAAAAGTCCACTGTTCTCTGGTTCTCACTGTATACATATTTCAGAAACCGTTGGAGATGTATGCAGCCTCGAGTGTGCAACTATTGCTGGAAAACATTCTCAAACAGCTTTAATCTTAAACAACACATTGTAAACGTTCATGTTCAGAGTCAAGGAGTCACATGTAACGTCTGTCAGAAGGTAGTGAAGAACAAATGGTATTTGAGAAAACATCTTGTCACGGCCCACGGGGCCCCGCTGAAACGTGCTAAGAATCTACCGAGCACGGGTCTGGTGGACGTTAACGAGAACGAAGAAAAGATGGCGGATGATGAGACAGAACTGAAATATTCAAGTTCACCTTAAACTTTCAACTTTTATGATATTGGCCTTCCCCTAGCTTTCAATTTATTCGACCGACCAATCTTAGATTAAGGCAGTATGCCCATACACTTTTAGAACAAATAATCACATGACCGAAAACATTTGAAATTACGAACATTTTGAGAACACTATGTTTATGTATTTAGGACAAAATTCTAAACATTTTGTGAGAAATTCTTAACATCCAGTTTTTGAATTTTAATGAGATGGTTGTAATTTCGAAATGCTTATTCGATCCGATTTATTCTAACAGTGTATTTGGGTTAAACTCATGGCTTTCACCATATTTATATATATGTTAGTATACACCTAAATGTTCAGATAGATAGATAGAAACGTTAAACAGATTTTACAATGGAGCAGGAGTTCCTATTTTGTACTTTTTTCTGTTTTATATTTATGTTGAAAAAGAATGATTTTGGTAAATTTCATAATTAGTCATCTTCTTATCGATCAAACATTTCTATTTACAATTAAATAGGTTTTCGTTTCTTATAAAAATCTTATATAAATGGTTGCCTTAATTTCCCCGTACTATAAATGCATTTATAAAATATAAAAGAACAAAATATATTTCTTCGAACCCGTTTCTCTAATATTAATAATTTCATAACAAAAAGCAATTTTGCCAAAATTCAAATGCGTTGGAATTTAAGTGAATTTTCAAAGTTTTATAAATCATATGTATGTTTTTTATCACATTTGATATATTCTTCACCATAATGTTATTTTCAGTAACTCCTGCTCCAGACCTGGCTTTCAGCTATTTTTTGTATTACCAAACCCAAGGTGCCAATACCCTTCTGTAACTTTATTCTGGGCTTCAAACATACAGTAGAAAACTGAATATATCATGTTTCAAACTATTTAGAAAATTATCATTACACATTTTTGTAGCTTGCTGTAAGATGTAAATGTAAATATATAAATCCCGCTTTCAATTTTTCAGAAAAATGTAAACTCTCGCTTTCAAAACTGTACTTCCGTAATCCATTCTTAAACTGGTTTTATATTACAGTGGTAACCAGACAACTCTGAAATATGAAGACGCCTTTTAGACTCAAGCTATGACTTTAAATAGTTCAATAAGCTTGGGAAACAGCAATTGTGCAGTGTAAACAGACCCATTTCACTTAATTAGTGATTAACAAGTGTGAAAAGATCAAATACACAATTAAGTATTGTTAAAAAGTTGTCTTCATATTTCAGAGTTTTCTGGTTATCACTGTATCATGTGCACGATGTACAACGAAATATTTGGAAATATTTAATATTCAAAATATTTCTTTAATTTTCTTTGAAAGTATCTTTTTTTAATATGAAAATTTTAGAACTTTCTTTCATAACTACCGCTAACTACACATATATCTCATAGAAAACTGGCTTTCATGTATAGTGGTGTAGACTGTAGGACCTTGTAGATGCAAATTCACAAAAAATCCTTTCATTTAAAAAGTTTTAAACACAAGAAATAAAAAAATATCTTATAATTTCAAAGAAGCGATGATTATATTGCGTATATCCAAACTTGGCCCTAAGCGTTGTCTAAAATGTTTAAACATTAAAAATGTAAATATTTAAATGTGAAATTAGAAAATAAATTAGTAAATGTTGTTCTCAAATCACTATCGTACAGCCACAGGGAAAGATAGAGATAGAAATAAAAGAAAAAGAAAATTAAAAAAAAATTTATTTGATGAGATCTGAAAAAAAGTAGCTTCATATGAAGAATCGTATGTGTTTATCTAGTGAGTGTGTGTAAGTCAGCTGTGAATAAATATTTATAGAGTAAATGAACTGTATGTTTGTTTAGCACTATGACTAGTAATACAATATTTTGAATGCCATGGATATTATACATATATGTATATTTAGACAGAAGCCAGCCATGGTTATTATACAAATACTAGGCTTTTAGGGCGGCCCATCCTCTATTTCAATTTTAAACATCTTTATTCACATTGTAAAACAATGGTAAAAAAGTTCGTGTAGTTTGTCTAAAAATTTCGTGGATTTTTATTTCGTTCAATTTTGTTGGAGCCTGGAGACTAATGTTTGACATTTTGATTACCATAAACCTTTCTTGGGGTCATGTGAGGTCCCACACATCATTTGGGCCCTATCGGTTCATCCGTTTTAACGTTTATTAGACACAAACAGACAAACACCCAAATAGACACCCAGATAGTAGCCAGCCACCCTCATATATACAAGGTACACAATAAACACACAGTAATTCAAATTATGTTGTAAGCTCATCACGCAATTTTTATTTATTAATCACAAAAACAAATGCTTTATATTTCAACTTTGAATCAACTGAATAGAGGGATAGATATATTTCTTAAAATCTGCATAGTAAGCACAGCTGGGTATCCCGATAAACATGGGAATTAAATGACGACATCCAAATCGTCTTTTTTTAAAAATTAGCAATGTAATACCCAATACAATTCTGGAAAACGTTGCTAAATTTTCTTTAACATATTTGCAAGATGAACTATGAAGTGTGAAAACTGAGTCTGAAATTACTGAATTTGAGCCGCGTCTCAAATCCGCCAAAAACTGGTTTAAATTGAGCAGCAGCTTAAATCTTGAAACATTAAGTACAATTTTAAGTGGAACAAACCATACTTGAGCTGCGGCTCAAATTCTTTAAATTCGGTATCTAGATTTTGTTTGTATTTGCCAAAACGAAAAATGTTCAAATCACTTTATCTTTTTTTTTTACCTGAAGGTGTAAACCAAATTTGTTAAAATGATACGATATTTAATTGCAAAGATTTAGGGATTAGGATATCAGAGTTTGAACAAAGGAATCTGTTCCTTTCAGGGACAATTCAGAAAAGATCTTGAAAACGGTTGTACACCAAAAAAGTAAAAAAATGGGTTTCCTCATATCTTTGTAGTTTGTTGCATATCAACATTGATTTCACAATCATCTTTGTTCGGCTCGTCTATAGGCCGCACGCACCTCTGCCCCTTTAGTAGAAGTAAATTTAACCTATATGAAGCATAAAGTCTCAACGCGTCAACCTTGTTGCACCGGCTAGTCCTGTCCATAGAGCTAGGTACAGTACAAACTGGGACCGGAAAGGTTGACCCAGCTCGGAAATTCAAATGAACTACGGCTGCCCTTGGCCGAATTATCCAGTTCAAATAAAATATTTTTGTTGCATTATACTGATACATTAAAACAAAAATAAAAGTTGAGTTAAGAGATTATTGAAGGTTAAACAAAGTTTAACCTTCAGNTATATAATAAAAACCTAATATATTTGCTACCAGTACCTGTCTAATTGACGAAGAAAAAGTGTATTCATGAATAAAACTATGCTTTGTTGTCAAACAAAGTTAAGAATAGATCTTTTTTGATAATTCTTTATTCTGACGTAGTTTCAGTCTGTTCATCTTTCATTCACGAATATGTTCAGAGAGAATCAGAAAAAATGTAGTCTTTGTTCTTCCTTTCATTTCGATATAAATCGCGATTTGCAATTGTTGCAACTGAACAATCTCTGAAAATTTTCAGGCCATTTCATAATTAAAAAAAAAAAATTACTCTGTTTCCTGGTTCTCACTGTATACATTCGTCATTCAAAGATTAACAGATTGAAACTAGTAAGCATAATGTAAATACATTAAATGTACGCATCTATTAGAAACATCGGTTAGAAAGAAGTAAAAATACCAAATCTAAATATATTTGCAAAATTATTAATGAAAAATAACCCCGAACCAATTTAAATTTAAGTGAACTTTTTTTTTGTTTCAAAATTGTCGGCTTTATATTGTCATCGACTTCCTATAAAAGCCAATGTGAAGCATTAATAATAAGTGGGTCTTTACAGAGATATAGTTTGGCAAATTTGTATAGAAAAAAGGCGTCATTTAACAGTTAAAATGACATTCAAGGCATAAAAGTTCTGTGTTTAACTGTCTCTATATATTGTCTCCTAGCACTATATACACTCTTTAAGATGAAGACTATAAATTAGAAGCTGTTATGTTTGTGTCTGTATTCCCTGTTCAATTCTTTCTAATATACTGTGAACCCTTCTTTTCTTTAGTACAGGGTTACCCACAAAGGATGATACTTCAGAGATGAATTGTACAGAATTTGTACTGTCTGTTTTCTTATATTTATGATTTTCTGCAAATTCAACTTGCTAAAGACATAATTTAAACTTGTACAATGAAAGGACTCGTACACATTCTTTCAAAGGCATCACCATAAACAGACGGGCAAAGGAGGCAAGAAAAAGAGAAACAGTGGACATGGAGAAAGGAGAAAAAAGATTTACATTTGAAATTATAGACTATAATGCCTCGTACCACTTTATTCTATAAAAAATATTAAAAATGAATTATATCATGTCATATCTAAAGAGCTTGAGGTAGTTTTTGCAGTCTCATCCTTTGTGGATAACCCTGTAGTACAAATAATGTTCCACTCTTAGAATTGAAATATTGTGAAGATGCACTCCATAAAAGACAGTGCACTGTCTTTTAATTAAAAATAATCAAAGTAACTATAATGAATTCATGAAAATGATTTTTATATATCTTATTTTACTCTAATATCTAAAATTGTGTCGTTTTGTTAACATAAAGTTATTGGTGACATTCTGATATATATTCTCTCTGTTTATTCCAATTCTAGATAGTTAAGATATCTCTCTAGGGGGCTTATATAACCCTTCACCAATTAATTCAAGAGAAAGAGGATTGCATACAAAGAATCACGCACCTCTGCCCCTTTAGTAAAAGTAAATTCAACCTATATGAAGCCTAAAGATAGTCTGACCGCGTCAACCTTGTTGCACCGGCTAGTCCTGTTGATTGTCTTCTTTATTAACCCAATGTCCTTGCGGTGCAGTACAAACTGGGACCGGAAAAGTTGACCCGGATCGGAAATTCAAATGTACTATACGGCTACCCGTGGAATAAGATTCTACTATAAAAATATATCAAACATCTGACCAAATCCAGTGGAAAGGTTTTACCAGTTTTGTTGTTTTATGACAGCAATAAAAGAAAATAAAAGTCTTCATTTAATGTATCACCCTCCTATATCTCTCCCTGGGGAGAATATTTAACTTCTCTTATCTTTGATTTACTCAAACAAGTGACATCTTTTTATATCTCTTTATTAAAGAAAAATAGGATTAAGTTTTTGAGCTCGCACATATTTCCTGAGAAATCCACAATATGGATTCTAGAAAATGCGCAGCACAAAAATTGATATTGACAGAATAACAATTCGATGGTATGGTATATTTCAAAAGCTTTTTCAATTTCTTTACAATATCAACTATTAAAACTTTTTTAAACTAAAACCTATTTTACAATGTTCTAAAAAAAGGTCCATAAAATTGCAGTCAGTAATTTTCAGAATATATATCTTGGATTATAAGATATCTAAATAAACAGATTTGTTCAAATTCATTACATATATTTATATTTCTAAATTGATTTTGGAAACTTTTTTCTTTTCTTTTTTTCTTAATCCTTAAAATCATTAATATTAGCTGTGCCTGTAAATATACTTAGAGCCTCACCGTCACTGAGTAACATAGTTTTACACTTTTACACTATAGAAGGCTTTAAGGATGCTTCGCGGTCCTTTTCTGTTAACAATTTTAGTTGATCATCGTTGCTCTTCAAGTTGACATTTTTCTTTGAAATCGTATTTTGCGGATTTTCTGTTTAAATTATAGTTAAAAAAAAATAAAATAAGTGTTGACATTTTTTTGCGGGAAATTTTGTATCTTTAACCATCCGATTTACCCCACCAAGGTACGGGTTTGGAAGGACTTATCTTTCATACACTTTATACAGGGATTTTTTACCAGAGATATATATGTAAAGTTTACCAGAGATATATATGTAAAGTTTACCAGAGAATATGTATATGTAAAGTTTACCAGAGATATATATGTAAAGTTTACCAGAGATATATATATGTAAAGTTTACCAGAGATATATATGTAAAGTTTACCAGAGATATATATGTAAAGTTTACCAGAGATATATATATGTAAAGTTTACCAGAGATATATATGTAAAGTTTAGCAGAGATATATATGTAAACTTTACCAGAGATATATAAATGTAAAGTTTACCAGAGATATATATGTAAAGTTTACCAGAGATATATATGTAAAGTTTACCAGATATATATATGTAAAGTTTACCAGAGATATATATGTAAAGTTTAGCCGAGATATATGTAAACTTTACCATAGATATATAAATGTAAA